TAGAAATAAAAATAAAAGTAGATGAAGACCTCGTTCACATTTTGACTTCATTAGACTTAAATGTGAAAAGGAAAACTGTACATTTTTTAGAAAATAGTAGAAGAAAGTATGTTTAAGACCTTAGAGTGGGAAAGATTTCTTAAGTAAGATATAAAAAGCACCAGCCATAAATAAGTATATTGATAATTTTTGTTAAAAGTTTTTTATCAAACACCACCATTTACAAGACAGAGGGTAAGTGTTCAGAAAATATGAGTAACCCCTATGAATCAATAAAAAGAAGACTAAAATAACCCAGGAGAAAAGTGAGTAAAATATATCAGCAGGCATATTGCAGAAGAGAAAACATGAATGGCCAATACACAGTAAAATGTGTTCAACCTTGCTTGGTGTCAAGGAAATGCAAATTGAAACCCCAAATTAGATTCGGTAATCATTAGATTACCGAAAATTTAAGAGGCTTTGAGCTTTCTGTGCAGATGGTCATTATTTGCAGATGACAGTTTTGTTTCTTTCCTCAGAAGAAACGTGATGATAAACAACTAGAACTTGGGAGTATAAATTGGAACAGTCACATTAGAAAAAATGAGTTGGCATTAAGTAGAAGTTAAAGTTGCACATGCCTTTCAGGCAACAATTCTGCTTCTAGGAATTTTTCCAGAGCATTCATCCAACCTGCAGGGACTGGGGAGGGGTATCTCATTACCCTAGGCCCTGAGAGATGAGGAGATAGATATCTTGGACACATCTGCAATTCATTTGTGAAACCCTTGCACATATGCATCTTGAGATTTGTAACAGAATGTTTGTAGCAAGCTTTGTTTAATCTTTGGACAGTTCCAAAGTCCATCTGCAGGAAAAAGTATGATATTATTCATAAAACAAATATCATATACAGCAGTGAAAATTAGTGAACTACTACACCTATGCATATCAACATGAATGAATCCCATGTTAAATGAAGACTGTGTCCTGTAGAGGAGCTTTAACAAAAATCATTCTTTTGATTATAAGAAGCATTAACAATATATACAGGAGAAAGAATTTCCTGTAAGATCTGTTATTGAATTTATGCTACCTTAGGATCTTAAATTTTTGTATAATTGGTTGTTTTAAAACCCACAGCTCATCCAAAGTACTTCTATTGCTTTCCAGAAACAGTACCCAACCTTAAAAATGAAAGTTTATTTTAAAGCCTTCTGTGATGTTATTGAGATCTATGTAAATATTTAAATGTATATCTTTAATATGCATGGTATTAAACTTGTCACTTTGTACATTTATTTTGTCAGACCTGCTCGTGTGTCTTTGGTGGGCTTTACCTAAACAGCATAACCTCCTGGGGCAAATATACTTTTGGACAATTCTATCTTTTTAACCAATTATTTTATACTCATCTACTTTTAAGCTAATTATTGTAACTATATAGTCTTGGAATTCAGAACGATAGTTTATAAAACAAGCAGCTGTGATCAAAGGTAACTTGGTTGTCTAGGCTTGTTCTTTTTTTCTTTCTTTTTTTTTTTTTTGAGACAGAGTCTCGTTCTGTCTCCAGGCTGGAGTGCAGTGGTGCGATCTCGGCTGACTGCAACCTCTGTCTCCCAGATTCAAGCGATTCTCCTGCCTCAGCCTCCCGAGTAGCTGGGACTACAAGTGTGTGCCACCATGCCCAGCTAATTTTTGTATTTTTTAGTAGAGACAGGGTTTCACCATGTTGGCCAGGATGGTCTCGATCTCTTGACCTCATAATCTGCCAGCCTCAGCCTCCAAAAGTGCTGGGATTATAGGCGTGAGCTACCGCTCCCAGCCTGTCTAGGCTTTTTCTAAACAAGGGTTTTGATTTTTTTTTTCTCCTTTAGCAATGTATATAAAAAAAAACCATAAATAGTTAATACTTACTTAAGGCTTAGACTCTGAGGGCTGTTTTCTAAAGTCAGACTTTCAGTGTTTTGCCTCTCCTGTTACTGTGAAATATTAGCTTGCCTTCAAATTGAACTTTCAAGATTCATGGTTTTGCTTAACAGTTTGACATTAAGCCAGTTGAATTTGACTGCTTCACTCTCTGCGTTCAGGGTGGATTTCCTCTGCCTGTGGCAGAAAGTGAACTGAATTTAGTGATGGAAATCCTGGTTTCTGCGCCTTGCTGCACGAATACCTGTTGACCTTGGGCAGATAACATGTCCTCTCTTAGTTTTCTCATCTATAACATGGCTTAACACTACTTATTCTGCTTGTCAAACTTGTGTGGAAATCAAATAAAATGATGTCTTCCTTAAAACTCTGAACTACTGAGTTTTATACTAAGATCCTATTCTACATCATTGGTGTACCTTTTCATGATTGGTGTGCTTTTTCTTCCTTCTCCTAACCTCAATAACAGCCAGAAAGAATTTTGGAATAAAGCACTATGGGTTTGTCTTACTCCTTAAACTTGATTTCCTGGTGGTGAATTTGGGTTTATTGTGAGTTACTTTGAGGTGGAAAAATGGAACTTCTGGAGATAACTTTTTTTATCATTAAGAAATTACAATGATAAAATGAATAGGTAACAGTACAGTTTTTCAGAACCCTTTCTTTTGCTAGATTTTTACTTTTCTTTCCTTTATATACCCCTATAGCAGAATCCCTAGTGTGTTAATTAAGAACATAGGCTTACTGTCAAATTCCCTGGGATGGAATCTAAGTCCACTGTGGCCCTTGAGGAAGTAACTTAACTTCCATTACACCTCAATTTAAAAAATCTGTAAAATGGAGATTATAATATTGCTTAGTGTATAGGGTTGCTGTGTGGTTTAAATGAGATAATATATGTAAATTGCTTAGCACAGGGTCTGGTACTTAGAAATGTTCAAAATGTTTTAGTACTGATTTAGTATTGATAATTTCTGAGAATGTGTTTACCCTTCCATTCTTTTAAACTTAAGTGATAATTTCGTGTTTTCTGATACAATTTTTCTACATATGTTTATATTCTATATTCAGAATTTAGTTTTCAGTTTTATTGCAGGCATGAACTAAACTGTAGATAAATTTTAATGTTTAAATATTGCGCTTTAATTTTCGGTAAGAAATGGTTAATATCTAAGAATTATTTATTCTAGAGTTTTCAAATTATTAACCAAAATAGCATCATAATATAGGAATTTTTTTGTTTAGAGTTTAAAATCTGAAGTTAAGAAAATTTATGAGGCCTGCCACTAAAATATAAACAATAAGAGGGCAGGAATTTCTTTTCTGATTTGTTTGTCATTACATCTTCAGTACCCAAAATAGGGCTTAGCAAATAGTGGGTGGTCAGTGGAAGTTTGTGGAATATTATAAATGAATTTTGTGAGCATAGATCCTTATTTCAGGCTTTGGTTTCCTTATTGCATTGTAGCTGTTTTTTCAGTGTGTTTTAAGCTACTTTTAAAGATCTTTTTAAAGACCAGTTGGCAACAGACATTTTTAAGTACACAAAAATAATGAGAAATGCAGTTTGTGTGAAACTTGGTGTGGCCTCCAAGCTCAGTTGAGGCTTGAATGAAGAGATGATGTGCTTATCCCTCCAGCGTGGGCTGAGAAACCACAAGGAGATGTATCATAGCTTAGTTCCTTATTTCAAATGAGAATTCCTACTATAGTGAAATGTACAAACAAAAACAATCTAGTACCACATACAAATAATTTTGTATCTTTGATATAATCATTCTTCCAAAGTTCTTTCTTAATATTTAAGTGGAACTTGGTAAGAATCAGTTGTATTCAGATTCTAACTCTTAAAGAGCCTTAATCCTGGCTGGGCACAGTGGCTCATGCCTATAATCCTAACACTTTGGGAGGCCAAGGTGAATGGATTGCTTGAGGCCAGGAGTTCAAAACCAGCCTGGCCAACTTGGTGAAACTCTATCTCTACTAAAAATACAAAAAATTAGCCGGGTGTGGTGGCAGGCGCCTGTAGTCCCAGCTACTGGGGGGTCTGAGGCAGGAGAATCACATGAACCTGGGAGGCGGAGGTTGCGGTGAGCCGATATCACCACTTCACTGCAGCCTGGGCAACAAGAGCGAAACTTCGTCTCAAAAAAAAAAAAAAGAGAACCTTAATCTTGAGATGTACAAATTGTCTGTTGTGAATATTCAAATTCATTTTCTTCTGTCATATAATGGGTTTTGTCACCTTTATTTTTTATTGTACTGATTATGGAGTTTTTTCCACAGTTCTTGCTTATTCATGTTGATATTTTCAAAAGATTACCTCTTCTTGCTCCTTCTAAATCTTCTGGCTCCTTCTAAACCCTTGTCCCTCCCACTGTGTTAAGACCAAAACAAAATTGTCTGGGAGAAACTAATGTTTATCATTTTCTTTATAGTCTTTAGCAAAAGAAGTTAGAATTATCTTAGGCTACTCTGGAATTTCACAACCTTGCTATTAGGAACCCTTTACATCTGCTGAATTCCTTGTTAACTTAAATCATTTCCTCTTTTTCTGGAATTTTGGAATTGGCCGATTTCCTCAAAATTCCTTTGTATACTTTATTCAATAAGTATTCCTGTTTAAATGTAAATTGAATCACGATATATTATAAATGTATTAGGGAACTTTTGTTTGAGGACTTCCTTTTGTAAAGCCAGTAATTACCTGTTAATTATGTTTTATGTTTGTTTTCTTTTTGGTTGTTAGTGGTAGTTTTTTGTTTTAATTTTTTTTAGATTTGGATTTTCAAATATATGGTCTGCTTAAAGCAGGGTATACTTAGAAGTGACTTCTAAAGTCATTTTTAAACTTTCTCTTCTCTGGGTTAAGATGCAGTGATACAAGCAGTAATTTGAGGTTTCCTGCGCTGAATATTAAGTTGGTTCTTTTCTAAAAATGAAAACAGCTTCAGTCTCTTTTAGAATGTACCGTAATCTCTACTGAGTAGAGGGGTTGTTAAAGGTAACATTAAATCTCATTACGTTAACTGTACTTTCTTTGTGCCTAAAAGCCGGTTTCACTTTGCCCCCCTTCTTGTGTGCTGCAGCTGGTGGATAGTGAAGTGGTCATGCTTTCTGCGCACTGGGAGAAGAAAAGGACAAGCCTCGTGGAGCTACAGGAGCAGCTCCAGCAGCTCCCAGCTTTAATCGCAGACTTAGAATCCATGACAGCAAATCTGAGTAAGTCCGGTGTTTTCATTCATTACTCTTAGGAATGAAAACAACTTGGGCAGGGTTTGGTGTAATTGCAAAGCTTTTTAGGAACACATGAAATTCTGGGTTAACAGGATTTTTTGGAAAATCATGATTTCTACTTAATTTCATATTTTGATTAGTTGAGCATTTGACAGAAAATGATGTAAAGCGTAGAAATTAGTTCTAACTGTTTCTGCCTCAGGTCAGCTCAGGACACATAATTATAATTATGTTGATCTTAAAGTGACTCGGTTTGTCTTTGTTGACATTTGGTCTCTGTTTGAAAGCATACATGTAGAAAATGGATTAGGTGACTTTGTCCTGACTGTAGAATGTATTCCAGAAATTGTTGCTTTTAAAATTTAGATCTGCTAGAACTTCATGTCTTGTAGTGGTTTTTTTCCTCTTCAAACGGATTAGAGATCAAACAAACCTGGTTAAATGAGGGTACTTGTGCTGGGTGTGGTGGCGTGTGCCTGCAGTTGCAGCTATTCTGGAGACTGAGGCAGGAGAATTGCTTGAGCCCAGAAGTTTGAATCCAGCCTGGGCAGCATAGTGCGACCTTGTCTCAAACAACAGCAACAACAACAACAACAACAACAACAGTGTAAATCAGGGTACCAGTTTGGCTAAATTTATACTCTGGAAATTTATTTTTTTGGCATTGTTCATTTGGATGGATTATATTGGTATTCTTTTTTTCTTGGGTTTATATTCAGAAAATTGTCTTTTATGTTTGATGATGCCACATCTAAGGATAATACTGTAGCTTACTATTTCCTAATCAAGCTTAAGATCTTAGTAAAGTAGGAGGTAGGAGCTGTCTGTATGAGCTAATAACCTGTTTTAGTCTTTTAGGTGGGAAGCTGAAGATATTCTATTATCTCCTCCTGTTTTTAATATTGCCTTATTCAAAGCAAAACACAACGATATACAAGGCAAGTAATTTGCAAGTCATAAAACAGTTTGTTGTATGTGAACAAAATAGATACATAGTATTTGGAGTGCTGTTGCTGATAGCAGTAGCTATCGTTTGTTTATAGCACCTACTCTATGTCAGAGATTATGAGATGCTTTACGATACTATCTGTAATTCTCACAAGAACCCCACAAAAGTAGCTTTTATTATTCCCGATTTACAGATAAACTAAGGCTTGGAGAGGTTTCAACTTGCTCAGGATCATAAAATTTATAAATGCATCTAGGATCCCAACCACATTGATAATATCCTCCATATCAGTATGAGGCAGTAGGATGAGGTGATGAGGCAGCAGGATGGGGGCTCTCAGTAGGTCTCGATGAACTGTATTCTTCAAGTCCCCTGGCTGTTGCCACGCCTTTCAGGGTCAGTGTTTTGTTATTTCTGAAGGCAGGGCATGGAAAGGAGATTCTGGGTCTTAGAGAAATGTGAAATGGCTGTCGTTGCCCTCTGCATTGGTTTCCTCTTACCGGTATAGTAATGGTCCTTCCCAAGCCTTGGACATAGCCTTTAAGATGTTTGGAACATTCTTCGTAGCCACTTTCTTTCAGCTCATCTTTCTGTATCTCTTTGAGTCACTTGCTTTTCATTGGTTGTATGCTTCTTTGCAGACATGTTCTCTTATGATAACCTCTTTTATTTCCCCAGCTGAGAGTAAATCTGTTTACAGATGGTTGTTGTTTGCTTAATACCACTCTACTGATTAAATGCATCTGCCACAATTCTAATTATTTTCATAGTCAATTCTGTTTAGGAAATGCAGGCTCTATAAATCTTTCATAGAATATAGTGTATGTTCATTCCCAATTAGGATTCTGATATCCTGAAAAAGGTTTGATGTTTAGTGATACATGACCTTATTCTTCAGAAACTGCATTTTGGCTTCTTAAATGGATGAGATAGGCCTTCTAGATGTTCACTTGAATCCTTTCTTTTTTAGTAATCTGAGAACATCTAACACTAAACACAAGTGAAAGCTAAAAGATTATCTGATAACTGTTCTAGTTAGTAACTTCTAAATTAATTTGAATCATTTTTTTCCCTCTCGTCTGTGTCTAACCGATATTGAGCTCTTTTTAGAGAGGTAGTTCAGATTTTTTTAGAAGGTGTGTCTGGATGGTGATTTTTCATATGTTGCCAATCTGAATTATCTGTTAGCCTTTGGAATGCATACTTCCTTTGGGTTTTAATCTATTGCTGTTATTTGCCTGGTATTTATAATTAGTAATGAATGACTGTGGAAGATAGTATATCAAAACTTGGAATTTTAGAGACCTAGTTAGTATTTGTTGGCCTAGAATAAGCCCAGAGAGAGATGTCTTAAAATCATGAGGCTTTTAGCTAAGCAATTTAAGCTTTATAGAATCAGTGCTGATGATATTTTTTTTTTTTTTTTTTTGAGATGGAGTCTCTCTGTTGCCCAGGCTGGAGTGCAGTGGCACAATCTCCGCTCACTGCAAGCTCCGCCTCCCAGGTTCACGCCCTTCTCCTGCCTCAGCCTCCCAAGTAGCTGGGACTACAGGCACCTGCCACCACGCCCGGCTAATTTTTTGTATTTTTTTTTTTAGTAGAGATGGGGTTTCACCATGTTAGCCAGGATGGTCTCGATCTCCTGACCTCGTGATCTTCCCGCCTTCGCCTCCCAAAGTTCTGGGATTACAGGCATGAGCCACTGTGGCCTGCGATGATATTCTTTACAGTAGGAAAATAAACACTTTGAAGCCAAATTTGATGAAGTTGTGTAAACATATATCTGCACCATTAATGTACTTTGTGAATTCATTTTGATGTATATATGTATCATTCTTAGATTTTGGAAACATTTAGTGTTTTAAATGCTCACTCATTTACTGGGTTTTTTTTTTTTTTTTTTGAGCCTCAAAATCTCTCCTATTATCACCCAAATACCTTGACATAATATTACAAGGCTTAAATAGTTAAGCAATAATAAAAAATAAAAACACACTTAGAAGAAAACAGCGATTTTATTTGGTCACATGGTTCCCCTAACTTCTTTGAACTTGTTGCCCTTTCACTGTCAGATGTAACACCATATCCTGTCAGTCCCTCATTTTCCAGGCTGTTTCACTCTTTTGATTTTACTTTGTTCTCTAGAGGGTCTGCTTTTATTGAAGGGTACAGGTTGTATCTTATGTGAGCAATTTGGACTTTCGATGATGCTTTTAGCTGTGTTATCCCATGGCTTCATTAGTATGACTCCTGGTACCTAGCCCCTTGGGAATTGTTAAGTTACAGCAGATGATTCATTCATATTGGTTTCAGTCCAGCTTGCAGAAGCCTATTTAATTGATACTTACTGATAAGGTATGTCATTTTAAAAATAAGTAATAAAGGTATGCTGGGAACTGGAAAACAAGGGCTATGAACTTACAGATCTGAGTTTGGCTTCCAGTCCTACAACTTCCTCACTTTAAGAACTGTGCAGATTTCTCAACGACTCCAGGCTTTAGTCTGCTTGTCTGCAAAATGATGATGAGCATACCTGTCTCGTAGGTATTTGGAGGATTAAATGAGATGATAAACGTAACCACTTAGCACAGTGCCTGGTACATGCTGGGCATCTGCCACGCACTACACACTGTGTACAGACTCTGGACACACAGCAGTGAACAAGGGTGGGTATCTGCCATCAAGATGTCAACATTCTAATGGGGACCTCTCTAGCCTTTGTGAATTTACAAAACCGTTATTCTGTGACAGGAGGGTTTGGATGGAAGTTATGCAATTTAGCTTGTGCTGCAAAACAGTTTAGAATGCAAAACCACAACATTCAATGTGGTGATATTAGTATTCTGTACATTGAAAGTGTGTAAGCATACAATGGAATGTTTTTATTCTGTGAAAAACCACAGTGCTTTTTAATCATAAAACTGGAAAAATATGTTTGAAAAGTATATACTGAATTCTCTTGAACTTCCACTAGAGGGTAGTATAATCCTATTCCTTTGTTGAAATTCAAAAATGTTAAAGCCTTGTCTTTGAATTCTATTTCTTAGTTTATTTTATATGACCTATTTTAAAAAGACTGTTCCCTTCATCTAGAACAGAAGATTCTGAGTTTTGTTTTTGTTTTGAAATTTTAATTTTTTTTAGAGACAGAGTCTAACTCTGTTGTCCAGGCTGTAGCACGGTGGTGTGATCATAGCTCACTGCAGCCTCAAACTATTCCTGGACTCAAGTGATCTTCCTGCCTCAACCTCCCAAAGCTCTGGCATTACAGGATTGAACCACTGTACCCAGCCAGAAGATTCTGTTAATTCTTAGATAACAATTCTTAGATATAAGAGAATGGCAGCCATATACTGAGTTGTCTTTTTCTTTTGATTTGACCTAGCCTGATATAGTATTACTTTGCTTTCTTCTGTACAGAATTTTAAAGGGCATCTAACAGAGAAATTATCATAGCTCTGTTGGTTTTTCATGAACTAGATTATCGTATGTCCAGGTTCCTTTCTGAGGTTAGACCCTTCGAGAGGCACATTAATTCTCTTAGACATCTTTTAGGCTACTACATAGATCTCATTTGTTCCATAATGGCTTTTGCAAGTTAATGTACCTCTTAAAGTTTCCTTATTCATACCATCGTTACCTTATTACCTTAGTACATAAAAGTGTAACGTAAGCATTTGAAGAGTCTTGTGGTCTTTCAGTACCTGGCCTCTGTGACCTGTGGGTTTGCAGCCAAAGGAGATTTCTTTGTTCCATGAGGCTAATTATTTTGTTAGAAAAGAACTCATTAAGTGGGAAATAATTTTACTGTGCTGCTTCATTCTTTATATATTAGTGGTTACACTACAGATAATATGTATTTGAAACAAATGGCACAAAGAAAAATTCCAAACAGAATTGTTTTTCCTCTGGGACGGCCTTTTCACAAAGATTTGTGAAGCTCTTTTTTGCGCAGCTGTCAGGCATTCCCAAATGGCTTTTCACAATAAAATTCTACCTATCTCTTCCACTGATCACTAAATGAGACATATGCTGT